ACACAACAACAACAACAACAACAACAACAACAACAACAACAACAACAGCAACAACAACAACAACAACAACAACAACAACAACAACAACAACAGCAGCAGCAACAGCAACAACAACAACAACAACAACAACAGCAACAACAACAACAACGACAACAACAACAACAACAAGAGCAGCAACAACAGCAACAGCAACAGCAACAGCACCAACAACAACAACAACAACAACAACAACAACAGCAGCAGCAACAGCAACAACAACAACAACAACAACAACAGCAACAACAACAACAACGACAACAACAACAACAACAAGAGCAGCAACAACAGCAACAGCAACAGCAACAGCACCAACAACAACAACAACGACAACAAGAGCAGCAACACTCTCACCTTCAATCCTTCCAAAATATCATCATATATAACCGGTATATCTGGTCGTGGATCCAAACCACTCGAGAGATACTAACAAAACAGTCTTTCCTTCTTCCCACCTAGTTCCTCACACCTTTTCATAATACGGCCTTCCCACAACTCGCCGTCCCGTTCCCTGCATCGCCACATCTACAGCCTGTTGAAACTGATGCCCGCTGAATTTATGAAATACCCAAATTGTAGCCGTCTCGAAAGGCGTATCATTCGCCTCTCCTGATGGTGTATACGAAAACCAAATACTTTTTCCCGCCATTACAAAACTGCACCAGACTCTCCCAAGATCAACTTCGACCATTCGAAGTGTTTACTCACTTTTTCATAGTTCGCCCATCGCAAAAATCAATGACTAACACAACTCATCATCAACTCATGAAAACAATTAATTATTCTCATGGCCTCTCGGTAGGGGACAAAAATGGGTGAATTATTCCGAAACCGTGAATAGTTTCCCCATAATCGTTAACAGTCCCAGTCTCAGCTTCAGTATGGAATGCAACCGATCTTACTACAACATACGGTATTCCTCTCCGCAAATATAGCACGGCTTCCTGGACAACACAAGATCTTTAGCACATCCTTGGCAGAGACCCTCGTAGCCACAGGGCTCAACATCCTAGAAATGACTCACGGAATCGAATCCTGGTATTTACTTCTGTTACAAGAAGGCTTCTTGTAACAGAAGTAAAGGTAAACGCTTTTTGAAGAAGCGGTCGATTCTACACCCACAGCAAACATCATTTCCATCACCACCCGTATGCTGACCTCCAATTCGATGAGCTAATTTGGCGTCCTGCTTGGCCGCACTTCATCATCATCATCATCACGCCATCGTCAACCATAGCCTGACAGATATCCAAGGTTCACACGTACAAGATGCAAAACATGCCCGGAAAAGGAACATCATAACTTTTCCTGCTACTGCATATTTCTCTGATATACATACATTTTCTGCACTGATAAGGATAGAATCTTCGACCCTCTTCGCTCCCTACCACACCTTCGCATCCTTTTCCCATGACATCTTATGTTTGTTGACATCTCGTTAGCCATGCTCCTATACGCTTTGGACATATCCACCTTTCTAAAGGATCAATAACGACCTTATAAGTGATCCCAGAGGCACACGTAACATTAATCTCGCTTATTTTTCACATTTCCATATCAAGTTGGCACACACTGTAGTATATAGCAAGGATACTATAAATGACGACCTGGGTTGTACACACTCTCTAGAACTGTCCCGAAAGTTTAAATGATTAGGGATTAACGCAAAGTACAAGACTTTGTGGAAGCTTATTTAACAGAATGAATGAATGTATAAAGGCCCCTAGCGCTAAGATTCGCTTAGGGCTAATAGATGTCATTTGTGTCTAAACAAGGGACGAAAAGACACAATGCACAACAACTCCTTTTGCATGAAAATGGATGACAATCATCATAGTCATCACAGAACTGGACATAATTTGTCTTTCTTCGACTCTTCACTGTACCTTAAGCCATTCAGAACCCAAAAAGATTGATCACTCACCGGTCACTCCAAGTTGAAGTCTCCAAGTTATGGTAGATGATGGAGCTGGGATATACCAAGCTGAGCCCCTCGTCCAACTCGCATCCCAACACCCACCACTGTTGAGCTCACTTTTGTTGAGGTTCACTTCATTATGAACTGGAACACGAGACAGCCTTGTGGATGGCGTCAAATCCAATGGATTGCTTGGGCGCACGCTATTTGTTCGAAACACGCACGCGAGTTGCGATTTTGCACGCATGCACATTATGAAGGTATTTTGTAACCGCAAGCACTACAGTATCGACTTGAACATTTCGCATGAGCAGTTGCATGTAGGTCCAAGATGGATTGGTGCTATGCCTTGCTGTTTGCTATTACCATCACCATAAGTTCGATCACTAACATTTCGGGAAACCATCCCCATGTTCATTCATTCAATTATGGGCCAATTCAGAATCGAATCTAGTAGCATCATATTATACGTGTAATACGCGATTCTGAGATTCCAAATGGGTTTATTCAACGACTCCTATGGTGGGAGCGACCACGAGTGGAAATTTCAGAGACGAGACGAGCGCGTGAATACATCCGCCCAGTCAGCCGTATTCCTCTTTGCGTGGATGTGCAAGGGAAAACTGACCACCCTCTCAGTTGACAATAAAATGCGTTTCCTCGCCATCACAGCATTACTTGCCCTACTACTCGAGTCTGAGGCTAGTACGGGCAAGTCGAGGGCTGCCCAGAGAATACGACAAGAAAAGCTCAGAGAAAAGAAGGTTGATAAGAAGTTTGAGAAGATCGACATGAAAGATATGCGAGCTCTGAAGCGCGCTCATCAATAGTTGTTATATTCATGAATCAGCTGTTATCATAATGTCATACCATGCATTACGACTGGAGTTCCGATGATTACGGTATGACCATGACACATAACTTGTGTTCATTACATCAAGTACATCTCTCACGGGTTGAAATGTATAAATTGGTGATGCCACATAGAGTAAGGTGCACTTACTTGGAAGAACATCGGGACTCAATAGTTTTGTACTAATCAGAACTCATCGGGATAGCAATGACGGGACATTACAATACCTGAGAGATATGCATCCTACTTCGTTAAATATCGTTCCCAATGGTGACGATATGGTAACATACAAAACTAATAGTTTTGTGCAAAACCATAGTTTTAAACTATGGTGAAATATATTATGGCTACTTACCATCGCATATTTCACTATAGTTTGGTAATGACATGCAGCCTCAAGAGCAACCGCATACAGCTCTCTTCCAAGCCGAAAATTCATCCGACGAGGTTGTGATGGTGTAATCGTTAAGTGCTGCTGACTGTATCCGGACGACTCAGGTTCAATTACTTGTAGGCGTTATTATATTCTACTTAAACTTCGTCTACGAGGGTGTTAGGATGCCCTTATATCTTCAAGTTAGGGCTCAAGTAAGGTGAGGTAACCCATGTGGAATAGCCGTTAGGGTACTAATTTCAGAGACCTTCTCATCTGTAGCAGCTTATGAAGTGGGCCCCTTTCAAGATTTTTTGAGTGGAAACTAAATTATTGAATATCGTACGAGCCATAGGTGAAACATTTATCAATTCTATCCAGTCAACAGAAAAAGGCGGGAGAGTCCCTTTCAAGATGTCAACCCTATGGTTTCAAAATTAGGTTTCAAATGGTTTTCAAATTAGTGACAGAACTGGTTTTCAAATTAGTGACAGAACTGGTTTTAAAATTAGTGACAGAACTGGTTTTCAAATTAGTGACAGAACTGGTTTTCAAATTAGTGACAGAACTGGTTTTCCAGGAAACCTCTTCAAAGAGCGCATGTCAGAGCTTTTTCCGAGATGTTTTACAAATCTATTTCCGGTTTTCACTTGGAATTAGTATCAAAATTGGTTCTGGCTTTCACGACTACTGCTGAGCGATCCTCAACATAACTGGTTAATCCTAGAGGTAACCAACACTCGCCCTTTTCTGTTGGTGTATGAGATGATTTTTTTTCATTTTTTATGTTTTTCCATACCGTAAATGCGTCGTATTTCCCAACGATCGCGAAAAATACGGAAAAAATTAACGAAATTAACATTTTTCAGATATGACATTCGAAGAAGTGTAGTTATAAAATTTTCACCGCAAATGTGAGTGTTGGAAAATAAAAACATGGTCAACTACATGTGTTGGTGACAAACAGAATTCGCGGCAATTCTTGTTGGTTCATTAACACTTCTACCCTCATGTGTGAACTCCCGAGCTCAGCTGAGGAAAGCGGGTATATTTTCAAACAAGCTCGCTGATTTTCAAAATGTCCGGTGCTTCAGCGGTTTTCATATTAGATTTGAAGGGAAAGGTTATCCTATGGAGGAACTATAGAGGAGAGGTAACACGGATGAGATGGTTGGTATTTTCTGATGAAAAAAAAGGAAAAATGTCATGTGAATGTTGGTCGGAATTTTCAAGCCTGCTATGTCGTAAATACTCCAACTTCGAGTAGTATGTTACTACACGTAGTGATATGGGAGTAGTTATTTATATTATCGATATAACTATAAATTGATAGTTCGAAAATACTAGGATGCTTGTTTTCTTTATATACTTCAAAAATAGTAGTCGTAATGGTAGCATGCCTACGTTATAAAAAAGGTGAGTCGAAGACCCCTTATTACTCGATGCTATCGTGAATCTGTTTTTATTT